GGTAGGTTGAAAATAAAAGCTAAGCTGGAGTGTGTTGAGGGTTGCTGCAGAGGTACTGTTGTTTCTCAGTTGCATAGGCTTAATCATTAAGCCTACGCCGGCAAAGTGCTCTGTTAGCCAAACTGCATATTGTCGATAAGCTATATGGTTTGGATTCGCATGGTCAAAGGCACATTTCACATGTCAGGCTGCAGGTAACTCGCAGGTAAGCTGTAAGCAAGCTCCACCTAATGCATGGATGCTCCATGTATGTTGCACGTGAGCTGAAGAAAAACTGTGTGTGAGCTGCAGCTGGAATGTTTAGGATGACCAAAAGTTTTCGAGATCAGATAGTTGGAGAAAACTGGGTATCGTAACTTATAATACAAGAGGAAAATCAGTGTGCAGGTGGAAAGGAAATTTATGCCAACACTATGAGCAGTGGAAATTTCCATATGCAGCAGAAGCCTCGCCGTTAAATCGCTTCCATTCTATTCCTCCAGTGGCTATCCTCATGCAGATCCACCTCCTCCTTCGCCTTCCTATTCTACTATCTTGCTTCGAGTGGTTTGACCCAGCCAAACACATGGACCTGAGGATTATCTGTTCTTGGTGTAAACGCATTTCCAGCATTGGTCATATATATTGCTACAGCAGTCAATAAATGAAATGCTTGAGTTTTGAGGGGGTCATTCCCTCGCCTACGATACGCTTCCGTTTCAAACGCCGCGAAGGTGTCTTCTTGGTCCGTTCTTCGTTCGCTCGTGATGGGTCTTTGAGCCACATCCCAGCTGACCGGAAACCGAGCGACTCGTTCCTTTTGAATGGACCACACGACCGCAACGACCACAACCAGGTCGCCGTTTATTCAATTAAAAAAGTGGCTAGCGCAAAACACCGTCACTCACGAACAAGCCAAGAATGGTTGTTGAACTAATAGTAATAATATGTTCAATAATGTGAAAAAATAGCATGCTGTAATTGGACTGGCCCGTTATAAGTAAACGACAGATACCCATAATTATCCCCAGAAATGCCGGCCGAAGAGTGTAGATCGAGCCTGCAGCAGACTCTTCCTGAGGCTGCCAATGGTAAAACTTATTTGATTGCTTCCAAAAAAGCTCCAGAGCGTAATATGATTCGCACAATGACTGTAAGGACCAGCTGATGAAGAACTCGAGGTCTTTGTCCGCCCAGGAAAATCTGGTACCACACGAAGACTGGGAGAAGAGGAAAGGCAGGGGGTTGACTCGAACGGGAGCCGGATTAACTTGAATGGGAGTGATCTGACTATGAGATTTGGTTCTCAGACTAGATTTGATTCTCAGACTACGATAGGTGGCAGATATTTCAGAGCGAACTCACTTCTTTTTCGGTGTAGTAAATTCCAAATGTGATATCGGCATCATTTCTGGGAGTAGAACAGGAGATCAGTCCAGCCTCGGCATAGTAGCTTAAGCGTCCTTCGTTTTGCCTGAAATATGCGATAATCATCACGCGGAGCTGTCTTACAAGTTCCCGTTGAGGACTCAGGAACCACCAGGAATTCTTGGCTTAGCAACTCGATATTTTTGAAGTGAACTGGTGTAATTGCGAAGTATCCAGGTGGAATTCACCGCGACCCCCGCGAGCCAAATCCTTCCCGAGAATGTCACTTTCGCTTATCGTCGAGTGAAAATAACGCTATCCCAACCACTACAAGGCCACCTTCCAATATCGTCAAGAACCTTTGGGAGGATAATAACTAATAAACTAACCCTAAGAAAAGCCTAAACCTGTTGAGCTGTAGCCGAATTAGTTCCGGACGAGATCCTTGTAAGCGGGAGTTTGTGGTAGGCGGAAGAGCAGGGAACTTCATTTACTTCCCCTCGAAACCGGCACACTCTCATCTTCAACTGTGATTTCCTGCGATGGGGCCTCATTTGTTGGGGAACCCCGGATTCTGAGCAGGGCACACCCTTATTAGAGCTGAGACCAACATTACCCAATAAGCGAGAGCCCTTCTATGCACGAGGTGGTGTGGTTCGCTTCTTCCTCCCAGACCACTTCTGCTGCCAATGTGCTAATCGCAAGCTTGTCGAAGATCCAGCTGATAAGAAAGATGCAATCCAGAATCGGACCATGCGGTCACAGACAGGTACGGAGGAAAAAGCTGTGATTCGAACGTGAACTCCATAACTGGCCCAATTCATGGTAGAGACAAGCATGTACTGTAAGTAAAGGCTCCGTTTACCTACTTTTCGTTATTGGGGAATCCCTAGTTTTGGCATCGCTTATGCCTGACACTAATCTAGAGCTTCCACTTTCCTTCTATTTTCACTATTACGCTCCCGATGAAGGATTTTGAAGACAACAAAAAACACCTCGTTTTATTTCCCATCAATGGCCAATTTGGCTCATCAATCCTGCTACAGTTTCTTTTTCCTGCCACAAAATTACTTTAGGTAGACGCGCAAGACCGATTACCTGACAGTTTCCTGAAAATAAATTTTGGTGTTTGATTTCGCCTACATTACGTTTCTCTCGTCCCACGAAATGTGCACGAGACACCTGAGAGATGACTCGTGTTGTAATACCCGTTGATAGGGCTTATAATTTAACCACAACTATGGACATGTACAGCACTCGCCAACGCCACTCCCTGAGGTGCGCCACGCTCTCAAGATTCTCCAAAATCTTTGTCACCCTCTAAGAGAGAAGGTATTTCGAGGGGGGGGGGGGGATGATCGCACATCATGCTTTTCATGTCAACCTTCTATCATGCTCACTTCGAGAGGGACACAGGAACACTCTGACGTCGGCGTTGCAGTCCCAGCTACTTTCGGTCGCACTTTGCTACTGTTCGATCACGCTGCAGTGGCCTTTAGGGGACGCCTGAAGATGAAAATTACCCGGTTCCTACCCCCCCCCCCTCGCGGAGGGTCACAAGGCTCTGCTGGTCCGCGCAGGATTCCGAAGCTGAATAATTCTTCAGGAAGGACATGGTAGCGTCGACCCCGCTCCCTACCTTCAACCCAACCTCCCCCCCCCCCAAATGCGGGTGATGGACTGCTTCGCTCCTGGGAAATACATCAGCTAATTTTTGATGCCAGCGAAGAATAACATTTGGGGTAATGACGTCGCGCTTTTTTTAGACTAAGCAATCAACTATGTGAGACGTGTTCCTGCAGTAACACTGTACACAGCGGTTCCGGTTGCTGCGACCTTGATCGTTCCTTGGCCCCGATATTTGACGGTGATACTCGGAAGACTCAAGACACATGTATCAGTGAAAACGAAAAAAAAATCGTAGCCGACCTGCTGGAATCGAGATACGATGCATCGTGGCCACGTCGGATAATCCGGTTTTGGCTGCCAGCTACAGTGTTTTTTCGGTTACAGGTTGGATTCTCTAAACATTGTGATCGTATGACAGATCGGTTGTACGAAGAAATGTGTATTCATAGCTGACCGAGTTGTTTAAATATTCAATGGCAAAGTTTTCGTGACCCTTAACATCTGGCTGATTTTTGGAGAAAACCTACACAATTTTGAGATCCGCTTCAAAAATTATACTGAATATTGTCAAACTCAAAATATTTTCTTTTAGCAAGATTTGAAAACGGACTAGTTGTAGGAGCTGTTTGAACATCGGCGATACAGTCCACGGCGCAGAACTTCGGAAGCCCTCTTAGGGGCAGCAAATCGTCCATTGCCGCCAACACAGGGGACTGTTAATGACCTGAGGACTCATTTTGTGAAGATAAACAGAGACGTAACAAAATCGTCCCGAAGTCATTTAGAGAAAATAGGCGACTGTCCGCTTGGAGGTGGCACTTCGCTCTCTCGCTTGTTCCATTTCTTAGTTCATGTTAAACAACAGGTCTCATGTTGGTGAGACCTGAAAACTCCTGTGAAACTCTGAAATGACACTAGTAGGCTACTTCGGTCACGGGAATTCACAGGTTTTGACAAGGTATCCTGTACATACTTAGCTGGGAAGAATACTGTGCCCCCATCAAGCCGGACTACGCCGTATAAACGATGATGTAAGTGGGCTTTTGTAAGGCCCCAACACGCACATTATCGAAACCGTCTGTAATCTCATCAAGGTTTGCAGCTTTCGCTTTCTGTTCATGGTGAAAGTTCGGTGTGGGTATCTGGGACGGGCCTTCCCATGGGGTCTACTATGTACAGTGGGTAATGTGGAGGGCCTTCGCGCAAAAATACGAAAATTTCTTCGCTAAAGTCACTTTTCTAACAGCATTCAGCTGCATACAGCCGCTACCGCGGCGGCAGAACGGTATCAAGAGGCAGGAACTGTATCCATCCTCGTTGCTTTTTCTACCAATAGTGACAGTTTGACATCCAGTGGTGGAAAAGACTGCGGATGAGCTCATTTCATGCCTCCTGACATTGCTCCAAGTGATTGCGACGATATCAACTGTCGATATTCCAGCTACGATTCGTACGCAGATGATTTCGGAGCACCAATAAACGAACAAAATCAAATCAGGACGTTCTACACGAAACACTAGCCGATGGCGGGCTGAGGTTGAATGTAAGGTATAAGAACTTTCAACATTAAAGGCAGTTGGCACGATAAATCCCCAAGACGAGTAGGATTAATACGCCTGGCAGGACGGAATTCCGCGACCCTGAGCAGGCGCTGCATAATGCCTTTTCCAAGGAGGTGCCCTTATAAGGGTCCTTATCAAGCCACAACATAAACGACCCAAATTGCCTTTCCCGCCCGCCCGTTTCAACTCGTTCTTCTCGCCATTGTCCTTCCTACATGTGGGCCAAGCTACCATAATCATCGTCGCTAACTGCCTTGAATCGATCCTTTTTATTGTACTAGCGTTGACAAATTTACAGCGGAATAAGGCGATTGGGATCGATTTTATAGCAGGCTTATCTGTGTACCGTTGCACTTGTTTCTCGTCCTGGGAACTTTCTCCACCGTAGTCGTTCAGGAAGGCACATCCGCGGTCGGGCCAGCTCCAGTAATCTTTCCTGGCCAAGTTTTCCCAGGTGGATCGCTATTCACTATATGGGCACCTCTCCGGTATAAATGGCGAAATAGCGCTCCTGAAAGGCAAAATCAAAATTATCAATCCTAGAAACATTGAAAGGCTAAGGTTACTGTATTTGTATACCATGTTATTATCTAGGTTGTCCGGAAACGTGCTCAGCGTTTTGTGCCCCCACTATTTTCGCTATGTTGTACTACTGCTGAATTTAAAAACTCATTTCTGCCCTTGGCATCCAGTAGCACTATCCTGTAGAGAATTTCTTGCGCTATCTGATGGTATAATTGCCGTTTCACCATTGCTTGATAAACCCTCTTTTTCAAGATTTTTTCAAGCATGTGAAAAGAGCACTTCGGACGATTTTTTTCTTCGACTATAAATTGGGGCAATCCGCAATCGAAACAGCTCAACAAATTAACCAGGTGTGGGGGCCCAATAGTGCTAGAGAAAGCACTGTGCGGCAATGGCTCAGATTAAATTTCGCTCTTGGGCGTTTCAGCCTTGAAGGTGAAGCCACTTGAGCCTAGACCGTAAAGCATTTCTCGCGACGAGGATTTTAGGGGGATTTTGAAGGCTGACCCATCCCAAACAGTTCGAGAGATTGCAGAAAAGCTAGGCGTTGGCAAATCCAGTGTTGTAGATTGTTTGAAACGCATTGGGAAGGTGAAAAAACCCGACAATTAGGTGCCCCACAATCGGAGTGACCGGCAGGAATCGGCACGTCTCGAGGTTCCTTCTTCGCTGCTTGCTTTTGCCGCCAAAAGAGAATTGACCCGTTTTTGAACCGATTTGTCACCTGTGATGAAAAATGGATCATGTATGATAACAGGAGATGTTCCGGACAGTGGTTGGATTTGGAGGAACCACCGAGGTAATTTTCAAAGCCGAACCCTCACGAAAAAAAATTCTGGTCAGGTTTGGTGGTCATCGGCTGTTGTAATCCACTATAACTTTTCATCACCAGGCCAAACCATCACAGCGCAAGATTAACCCTACTGTGAACAAACCGACCAAATGTCCGAAAATATTGTCAGCTGCAGCCAACACTTATCAAAAGAAAGGGTCCGATTTCTTTGCATGACAACGCCCGCCCACACGTTTCACAAATCACTATCCATAAATTGAACGAATTTGAGGGTTGAACGTCTTCTACCCTCAGCCCACCATATTTCTCTAGGACCTTCACCAACCCCGACGTGTCACCTTTCTCAGACATTTTCAGAACTTCCGTTGCTGACAAAAAAACCCTGCTAGGGCCGCATAGAGTCTTCTTCAGTTAACGACCAGGCAAAAAAGACCGTCGGTAGATTTTGCGTGGCATGCTCGACACCCAGTTTTTCCTTCTTACTGGGGACTATCTCGACTGCTGTCACTCATTGGCAAGAGTTGTGCTGATTCGAATTGCTGGCCTATTTCGATTAGATTCGCTGATGAGTATCAAAGTTACGTATCGTTTGTAGTGAAACACACAGAAACGCTGAGAACTTCGCGGACAAAGCTAATAACCGTATTCTTCACCAAAGCACAGTAATTATAACTGGGATATGCATTGATGACGATAAATCGAATTGATGAACTCTCGCATGAATTGTTGACCTATCAAACTCCACCGAGACCCGGAAAGGACCTGGAAATGCAAGAATAGCCCCGACAAGCACTGCTAGCCTGAAGGTAGTGGGTTACGTCAACGAACTTATGACATACCGCTGAGGATTCCTAGAAGCGAGGGATCGAAACGTGCAGATCTTCAGAGCATCGAGAAGATGTAGTATACAGAGCCAGTTGAACACCCCGTTCTTCGCTTCCATCTGAAAGAGACACTTCTTTTGAAAACATCAGTCTTACGATGGCCGCATAGGCCGGGGTCAGACCCAAGCGCTCTCGTGCTGTTTCATCACTATGTCAATCTTTCACAATTAATCCCCTTTTCTTGTTTTCAGATCAACTTTCTTTGCCTTATAAACAGCAGGAAGCTAAAAACGCCAGCTAGTTTCTCCAGTGAGCGACGAAAAAAAAATTATAGCTAATGGCTGAAAAAAAAACAGAAAAAACTTCACCAAACAGCTTTTCCCTCGGAAGTTTGCTTGTAGCTACCTTTTTATTCGTCCTTCTTGTCTATTCCCTGAGACCCGCTGGTCCACAAAGCGTGACGAGCACACTGAAGCCGGTTCCTATGGTGATCGCGTCCTCTTGCCCTGACCAATATGGGCTCTGACTCCGCCATGGTAAACCGGGTGAGACTAGCCCCTTCAAGTGGGCTTCGGCCATCGTCCGAAGGCAAAGGTCCGCGCGCACTTTCCACCAATAATGGTGGATCGGAATAGAGAACAGTCAGGCACTTATTGGTAGAAGACGCTGCCGCGGGTGAGCTCATTCCACCCCTTTTGACGCCGCCCCGACTGATTGCGACGATATCAACTATAAGATTGCCAGGTCCGTACCTCATTCAAGATTGTCAGCATTTTTTCGAAATTACGGAATAACTGATGTAGGTATTGAGTCGGCTGAATCGATTTCATCACTCCTCCGATATCGATCCGACCTGAAGTTATCGATGGCGTTGAAATCGATTATCTAAGTATGACAGGAATGGAAAACTAGTTGAAAGAGAAATCCTTGGGATAACATCCGAGAATGGTTCCAGGCTTTCATTGCAAACGCTGGGGGCTATCGGGGGGGGGGGGGGGGGGACCGTTTCGACAAATGGTAGGGAACGGGCTGGCGCCACGCCAATTACAGCTTAATTCTGACAAACCTCAGCCCTCAGCTCTGCAGCGGAAACGACTTTGGGTCCCTGTCTCGCTTCTGTCTAATCCCACGGAGCCTTGGCAGCCACGCCCCGCACTACGCTCAGATATGGACTGTACGTCACAAAACTATCCAGGAAGCAATACGATGACCATAGGAAATCAAGCAAAACAACGTCAGACAGCGAAGGGACGCTCCGCGCTGGTCGTGTTGCGGAGTCAGTACTGGAGTTGTGCCTTTTTCATTGGGGCGACTGTGGTTTCTTAGGCAATACCGGTAAGGACACGCCAATGAGGACAGCACAACTGCAGATCTGGTTCCGCCCACATGACCATCAAGGATCGGGCCTTCGAACTACTGGAGACAAAATCGTTGTGTTAACTCGTACTCTCCATGGGTATGTATCGTCCCAACCCCTCTATGTCCCCAGCCAGGCCTACGCACACGACCTCGGGTAACAGATGTCAAAATAGCAACTGTTTCCAAACCATTTTGCATAGACAAAAACTCATCCCCATAGAGAGTAGCCATTGGTGACCCCCCCCCCCGTCCTTGTTTCGGATTCCCAACAGGCCGCGCAGATCTGCCTGAAATAGGGAAAGGGCTGCAACTTTCTGCCGCAGTGCGTGTACGAGCTCAAACTCTTTAAACGCTCCAAAACAGGGAAGCCCATCCCTTTTGCAACCGCACTACTTGGAAAAGTTGTCTCGGGCACGCCTCACCGCTTTGGTCAACGACGATTAATCGGTCTCCGTCTTTCCGATTTGGTCCAATAATCGAGACTGGCGCATATTCAGCTGTCACCTAAAACTTCCATGATTTTCTACAAACTGGGAACAATGGGAGGCCGAAAAGAACTGACAGCACAACTTTGAAGGCCACGACCATCCTCGTCCAGATGGCGTTCTCTTCTCCACCTCAGATGTTTCCGAAGGTTGTGAACTGTCTTCGGCACGTTATATTCACATGATTGTAACCATCGTAGAATGTTGAAATGGGTGTCGTAGCGGGGATGGAGGAGGTCGAGCACTTGTGAACGGACCTGGAAACATGCTTATTTGTGGAGCTGAGAAAGAAGCTGAGGGTATAGTTGGCCGAAACTAAGACATACTTGCTCGACAACATTCGCGTCGGGTTCGGGTGCTGCATCGGGAGGCATCTGAAACAGCCTAATTTAGTTAAGGTAAGTAAGACGAATGAAAGCGTCAGTGGCGTTTTTGGTCACGTCAGTGAGACGAAATTTCACACACTTTCACATTCAAGGACAAAACAAAAAAACTTGTTGACGGGAGCCTGCAAAGCGACTAATTCACCGGTGTACAAAAAAAGTAGGGGCCTGGAATTCATAGGTCACTTTACAGCGAGAGCGGCCTTTGCTGCCCTAATTTTTGATGTACAAGGTAGACTTTTATAGTAACTCGTCCTTGCGGTTATACTTGGCCAGGAATTTGTTTTTGAGGTATATTTGGCCTGAAATTCGTACCTTAAGGGAGATTTGATCCCTTGAACACACATATCGCATGTGATGACGTCAAAATGCCTTATCCCACAAAAGGCCTGTAATGCTGCCAGCGCCAAACGCTTTAGTGAGGGGATGACGTTACCTTAAAGGCAGTTGGCACGATAAATCCCCAAGACGACTAGGATCAATACTCCTGGCAGGATAGAATTCCGCGACCCTGGGCAGGCGCTGCATAGCGGTTTCCCCGAGGAAGGTGCCCTTATAAGGGCCCTATCAAGCCACAACTTTACGTCCCAAACGCCCGCCACGCCCGCCCACAAATGGACGACCGTTCCTGACGCTCTAATCGATTCATTTGCTAAGCAAATTATGAAGCGAAGGGATTGGTATGAAGCGGCCGTGATGCTGCATGCATACATGGGTACACATATGCAGCCGTATCTTTCGGTAGCGGTGATTGGTAAGATGCCTACGGGAAACTCGTCCGAAATCGATTTTCAAGTCACTGAGAACGGAGGCTTTTTCTTCGCAGGATTTTGACCGTTTCACTCCGTTCTTTCGCCATTTCCCCACTATACAGCGCCCTACTAGCATTTTAGGCTAAGTAGGAAACCATCGTGCCAACTGCCTTTAAAAACAATTTTATAGCGAATTCGGTGACCTGAGGGCACGATTACTGGATTACTGGCGGGGGGGGGGCTTGTTGCCAAGGTCATCGTTGGAAGGCCTGAGTGGGGTGTGGCTGCACGCTCTGTTGCAGGCATTCGACCAATGACAACCACACGCCTCCAGCAATAGTGCCCACTGCCTTTAGAGCACATCCTGAGATTGGAAATGATCGGCCTCATGCCGAGCATGCAGCGAAGAGAGGGCGTGGTTGGACGAGCTCCCACTTCTTGGTATTGCGGTGACATCAGCTGTTCCCTCCTTATCACACTCATCATTCGAAATAGAAAGAGGAAGCAGTGGGAATCGCAGCATTACACAGACGTTAGAAATGAGCGTTGGACGTGGCATAAGGCAGTGGGTGGGGCATCGCATTCGTCACAAGTGGCTAACGCTCTTATTACGTGGTTTTCAAAGGCGAGAAAGTAGTTTATCTGCGCTCGCAGGCCAGTGCGGACCGGCTAGCTTGCTCAGGAAGAGCGTCCGCACTTCAAGTGAAGCGGGACGGGTCAACGAGTCCTACTCTGGTGAAACCTGTGAACTCTTGTGAAGCTGGAGCAAGCTCGTCAAGCCATCATGGTAAAACCTGTCAACTCGAGAAGAGCTGTCTAGATAGGTCGACACGTCGATGGGAAGTAGCAAAAGTGCAAAATGCCCCCGTCGCCGAACTGCGCCATCAGCCAGAACAAACTCTGAGGAGAATAGAACTCGAAAAAAAAGATCACAAAGAGATAAATTGCCCCGCGGAAGCATCATTGGTTCCGCTTATATTCAAGAAAAAAAAACCGAAAAGAAATTTCTGGAATGCCCTAGATACTATAGAAAGCCATCTTCCACTTCA